TCCAAGGTTCAACATGCAACAAAAGAGGTCTTGGATTGGCCTTCGCGGGACATCTGTGTCGTTTCTGTGATCGGGCTTAGTGGGTCAAGTTCCCGGTCCCTCAAAAAAAGTTCGGATCATGCACTTCAGAGGACATCGAGGAAAGCTGCTAATTCCTTTCTTAACACCCTCTTCAAACTTCCCTGTCGTTCAAAACATAAATAAAATGTTTTTTTTTTCTTATAATTCCGCTGGTTCTTGAACGGTCATCACCTCAGACGGTCGCATCATCAGAATGGGAAGGAAAAAGAAGCGCGCTGAAGATTATGCCCGCGAATTCCACAATTTTGAGGTGCGTCCTGACGGAAGTTGTAGCGAAGACCACGTATGTATATGTGTCGTTATTCTTTGAGTGATCACAATTATCACAGATACAAGGATAATCTGATCCGGTGTCCGATGGTGTTTCTTTCATATCCACCGAAAAAAAAACGGTAAACTTTTTTGGGAATAAATATACACCGATAAAGACCGAAACTTGAATTTTAAAGAAACACCGAAAAAAGTATGCTGAATTTTTAAAAAATAAAAACCGAAAACGCGGAACCCTAATTATAAGCTATCACCAAGTAAAACAGTAGGTTATAAATAAGATGTCCCTGCACGCAAAATGAGCAGTCCTTGGGGAATCAAATTGGGCACTTTACGCTAAGGCCTTCCTCGATGCACCCACTTAATAAAGTGTTTTCTAACCAGATCCGACTGTCCGCGCTATATATATGTCTGATATGTCACAGGTTTCTTCTGTTGATGACTTGCACAGCCGCCGCGCGTGTCAAGACTGAATGCCAGGAAAGGCGCACACCGTCAACCACTATTTATTTATTATTATTATTTTTTTTGACGATACCGAACCTCATTTTTGTCCAGATACACAAGATGCACCCAGTTTCTCGGATAGAACGCTCACCATTGTCCTGGCCGTCTAAATTGCGTTTATTGAACGTTCTCTCAGATTGTTCAGCGTGGCCTGGTGTTTCACGAGACCGCCAACTCCGTCGCATGCATTTTCCCATATCCAGATGCAGAATATAACCACTGGGCTTGTGAACAATCATTCTGTGCAACCTGGTGATGGTAGCGATTCTTGAAATGACTGGCGGCCCCGTCACTTACGTACGTCACATATACCGCAACGTTGTCTTCAACCCACTCTTTCACTTTTTCTAGAGCGAAACACGTGTGAGCAGCGTCGTCACACAGATCCTCATTGATGATAGCAAAGCTGTTTGTACATTTTCTTGTCGTCACTACACATGTAAATATCGCAACTTTTTTTTTTTCTAGTGGTATGTGAATTTTGTCAGGAAGCGTGCACGATGGTCCAGTTTTCAGCAGTCAAAATTAATGACAATGCTCCTGCGTGTCATGCACTGTTTTTCATAGTACATCGATTTACCTTGCGTTTGTCGGATATGGTTGTGAAATATCCAACTTTCAACCGTTACCTTAGCAACTTTTAAACAAATCTCAAAACCCTTTTTTTTTCACAATGTCGCCGGATTTTTACGTTGTAAGCACAATCTCTTCATCCTCTGGGATGTGAAGTTCGCCGAGTGTACGAGAGGCCTTTTGGGCAGTGATCACAGACCTGTTAGTGCAGTGGTCTCAAACTCATTTGAGTGTGGGGGCCAGATATCCCACATCCGAGATGTCGAGGGCCAAAGTAAGATGGGGAGAGGGAGGGGGGAAGAGAGACTTCGTGCTTTATGGTTTTTGTAAACTCACAGCCTTGCCAGTGATATCTTGAGATTTGACTGGTTTTTAAGACCTGGTGCGATAAGAATTAAAATGACCCCGCCCCGCCAAACGTACTGGCATTTTTAACATGTTAATTAGAACAAATATAGCATTTTAATAGAAGAAAATACACTGCCATTCCAGCTGATGAATTCACCCAGGAATTACCAAGCTAAACATGTCGCTAAAAACAAAAACAATCAGTTAATACAATCCTGATGATTTTAACGACAATACTCGAACGAATACTGCTGTTTTAATGGTGATATATTTTTAAAGGCGATATTCCCGAGCTCGTAGCTTTACAGCTGAGATACATCCTTCAACAAATAGCTTGCGCTTGCAACCTAGTAGCGGAATTGTCGCATATTACAAAAAGGCCGGGAAGCAAAATTTAAATCTATAAAGGCAAATGAATATAGACAAGTATAAGCTATGTGAATACGTTAGAAGAGCAGAGTTACTTTTGGAGCGAAAAGTAAGCGAGGCGATGAGATCACTATGGCGCTTGCTATTTCTAGCGCTCGAGACATGGGATACGGTACTCGTAGCCGCTTGGGCCTGCGGGCCGCCTCCCTGCGAGTCGCGGACTGCATGCGGCCCGCGGGCCATGTGTTTGAGACCCCTGTGTTAGTGGATCGCACAGAAATGCTGAATTAATTTCACTAGTGTTGAATGTTGCGCCTGTAACGTTCTCTAGAGCGGCAATACAAAGGCAATAATTGGCGCAGCGCACACAAACGCACACTTCCTGGTGTGGAACACATTTGACCTATCTAGGGCACAAGGAATAAAATTTCGTTAGCCCAACGCTGGAATCAGGATGCTTGTCTTTGTATGCGTGAAAGGCCTCTCGAATTGAGCGTGTCAGGAACCGCTTTGGCACGAACATGTTCTCTCCGCCGAGCATGACAGAGATCACGTCCTTCTGGTTGGGACCATGGCGCGAACATTGTAGTTCGTCTTTCGTGAAGTACTCTAGGGCAACAGACACGTTCTCATGGCTCAACTTCCGCCTCGTGTGAGGGTCCGGCTCATACCACACGCCATGCTTTTCCTTACCAAGAGCGTAAACACTGTCGCCATGTTAACCTTTCCTAGGTTAACATTGCGAGTGTTTACGCTCTATTGTATTTAGGCGGGGCTCGACTATTTGGAGATTCAGTTGTCTGTCGGTGTGCCCCTTTGTGCCTGATATTATCGCCCGTGACGCCAGCGAGTGGGATGGCGAAAGGCACGGCTGCTCAGTAAACAGGCATCGGCGGTCATATTTTGCTGGTTGAAGCGAACCCCCATATTCTTGACAACAAACAAGAAAATGAGAGAAAAAAAGTGAAAGCCCTTTACAACTCCCTGTAACGCCGAATTAGAGCGCAGCTCTTGAGGAGGAGGAGGGAAGGGTACTGGGAGGGGCGAAGCGACCTGGGGGGTCACGTGACCTTGGGGGTCGTGACCTTGAGGGGTCACGTGACGATGCCGATGATGTCATCAGTGACGATGATGATGCGGACTCCTATGACGTCATCAGCGATGATGACGATGCGGATGTCGGTGACGTCATCAGTGACGTCACTGATGACGTCATCAGTGATGATGACAATGACGATGCGGATGCCGTTGACGTCATCAGTGACGTCACTGGTGACGTCATCAGTGATGATGACGATGGCGATGCGGATGCCGGTGAGGTCATCAGTGACGTCACTGATGACGTCATCAGTGATGATGACGACGATGCGGATGCCGGTGAAGTCATCTGGGAGGTCACGTGACCCTGGGGGTGGTCACGTGACCTCGGGAGTGTCACGTGACTTGGCAGGGTCACGTGACTTGGGGGTCTGTCGCGTTCGACCAGAACGGTACACGGAACCAGTGGAGGCAGAGGTCGAGCAAGTAGAACAATAAAACATATATTTGCAACGTAAAGAACACTAGTGTTATGTACAAGAAAGTAAATCCCAGAAGTCAAACCCTATCGGTTGCCGTGACCCAGTCCCCTGAATGTTGATCGTCACTCACGACCTTGAAATGCTGAAGCCGGGCCAGCTGCTTCTCGTGGTCGTCTCTGGGGTGCGATGTCGCTAGGTAGGAGTCTTGGAGGTCGGTGAGGTTGCTTCGCTACACTGGAGCGTAGCCAGTGGCTGGTGACCTCGCCTCAGAGCAGAGCCAAGGACGTCCTTCTCCAAGTACACCCTTTGCTTCTTATATCCCCTTCTTCCTTCTCTTCGGCCTGTCTGTAGGCCGCTCGCCCTTCCCTAATTCTTCTTTTTCCTTCACAATCATGACAGGGTCACGTGACCCTGGGGAGGGGTCACGTGACCTCTGGGGAGGGGTCACGTGACCTTGGGGTGACCTTGGTTACGCCGACGCCGCTCAAGCCGGGAACGGGCCCCTAAGAGCTGCGCTCTGAAATAAAGCCATTTACCCCTGTAACGCCGAATTAGAGCGCAGCTCTTGAGGAGGAGGAGGGAGGGGTACTGAGGGGAAGGTATACTCCTCCTCACCTCCTCATCCTGTCTGCTACTCCTCCCTCCGAGCGGCGTCGCCATTGTCTCACAAGGGTCACGTTACCTCATGGGGTCACGTGACCCCTGTGAGGTCACGTGTGATGTCATCCTCACTCATATCAGTGACGTCATCACTGACGATGACATCATCAGTGACGTCACGCGTCCCATAATGCACCGCGTGGTTACGCCTACGGCGCCGCCGCTCAAGCCGGAGACGGGCGCCTAGGAGCTGCGCTCTAAAAAATTTTATCGGCCGTTTTGCAAGAACTTGCGACGAGTGTTGTCTGCTACCTCCGTCAACTATTGCGCCATAATTGTGACCTTCGCGAGGAAATGATTGTTGCTGGCCACAGAAGACTCACGCAGAAAGGGAATAATTGAATATGTTTTTATTCTAGATATAAGTCAGGGATATATATAAAAGAGAGAGATGGAGATAGAGGGGAATAGAGAGGAGCATATAGTGTCATAGGACAATAAAATAAACAAAATTACCAGTGGCCGATGGCTGCAGGATCTTTTCTCGGATCACTACCCTGTAATATGATAGCTCTTTATACACATTAGTATTTTTTCTTCGCTTCTACTGTGTGAACGATTATAGTAATCAATGGCCTCATCTGAATAAAAATATATAAAATATATTAGTCTAATGAAACTGAAACTCAGTCACTTCTCGTATAGGGCTCTGTGTCACAGAAACCGGCTGTTCTAGAAACCGACGGGGGTCGTGCTGACGTCTGCGGAAGAATAATGGCCAGTGAAGTAAACGACCGCCTTCGGCGGATGAGCTCGCAGCCAGGCGCGTGTCAGGTTACGCAGGGAGCGCTTCGTTGAAGCGACCGCATGTTCGGTGTTTCTTCGTATACACAACCTAGAGTGGTTTTGGGGGGTATACACGTCTCTGCAGCCCCAGATTTACGAGGCGAGCTGGCGGCTCGCTGTTGGAATGTGTTTCTCGTCAGCGCTCGAATTGCCTGGCGGGTCTTAGTGTTTAGAAGAACCCTGCTTTAGGGTCAGGGGTCAGACCGAGGGGGCAACAACCTACCGTGGGAACAAAGAGAGTGCGGGAACCGCGGGGTCGCCAGGACTGGGAGTGCGAGAGAGAACTCCAAGGCGGACGGTCGCATCGCGACGTCGAGGGATGCGGCGAGACCCTGTCGACGGCCCCACGCCAGGCACCGGACGAAGCTTCCAGTGAGTGTGCGACCGCAAAAAGTGGGCGTGCGGGGCCAGTGAGCCGCGCCCACGGTGTGCCAAGCCACCCGCCGGAATTTCTCCACCTCGGACGGACCGCGCAGGGAGACGCCAGCACCTCTACGCCAGATGAGACTTTTTCTTTGCACTCACTTATTCTCCTATTTTAGTTTACCATTAGGACTCTCTTAAACTTAGTATTTTTCTAGTACTGTCTAGGCAACCCCGAGCATGAAATTGTAAACCGTTATACTGTGCGTACCTGTGCTTCTGCCGTTTGATGTCTACGTGATTTTTGCATATTATATAGCGCCTAATTATCTACCCTATCCCTTTCAAATTAAACGTCATTTATATATCTGACACACGCCTCCGTCTCTCTTCATTGGTAAGACTCTCCACCAGAGCGTGGCCCTATCGCTCGGTCAGCGGTCCCCTTCCTTCAAATCGTCACTCGGGAGGCCTACCGCCTTCCTGTGACAACCCCCCACTTAAGAATATTCACTCGTGAATATAGGAAACAGCACAAGAAAACGGCCTACACCACATATGCTACGGAACTAGTAGCTCTACTAAATGAAACGGCATCTCTGCACTCTACAGTAAAAGAAACACTTACAGCCAAGAGTAACACAGCATTCTGCAAAGCCCTGCCCCCCAAAAAAAAGAATTGTGGCACATATTTTGTAGCACAAAGTTTGCCGGTGATACATACTATGCACACATAACTAATATTTGTTTAACAAACAAACAAAAAAAAAAGAAATATTGCGAAATGCGACAAAACGTTGTGATACACACACTCGATAGTTTGGGAGGTTTCTCCTCGAGGTGCATATCAGCCTGGGCGCCTCGGGCGCCTAAAGCCGACTCAGGTAATCCGCTCCCACATTTTCGCTGCCTTTAATGTGTTGCACGCGAAAGTCGTACTCTTGCAGCTGGAGGCTCCAGCGCATAACGCGAGCGTTGGCATGACGTGTACGATTAATATACAGAAGGGGTTGATGATCCGTCTGAAGCACGAACGGTCTGCCATATAGGTAGGTGTGGAATTTCTGTATGGCCCATACCAACGCCAGTCCCTCACGTTCAACTGTCGCGTAGGCAGTCTCTCTCGGCAGTAGCTTTCTGCCTGCGTATGCTACTGGGTGTAACACCCCACCGTCCTCCTGAAGCAAGACCGCTCCAATGCTGTGATCAGAGGCGTCCGTCCTCAAGATGAATGGCTTTTCGAGGTCGGGTAACTTGAGAATAGGGGCACGCGCTAGCATCTGTTTCAGCTTGTTGAACGCCCTCTCGTGCTTATCCTCCCAGTCCACCCGATTGCTGCCGCCCTTCCGAGTTAGGTCTGTCAGGGGGGCGGAAACCTCGGCGTAACCGGGAACAAATTCCCGGTAGTATCCGGCCAGTCCCAGGAACGAACGAACTTGCCGCTTGGTCTCGGGCCTTTTTGCAGTTAGGATCTTGTCGACAAGTCCCTCCAGTGGAGCCATTTGGCCTTTGCCCACCTGGTGTCCCAGAAAGGCCACCTCCTCCTGCCCCACCTCGCATTTGGTCGGCCTCACCGTCAGTCCGGCGTCCCTGATTCTCCCCAACACCCGCCGGAGCGCAGACAGGTGTTCCTCCCACGTCTCGGTGGCAATCAAAACATCGTCGTAGTAGTACCTCACTTCTGGCACTTCGTCTAACAGTCTTCGCATGAGTTTCGTGAAAACCGCAGGGGCAGTCTTGATGCCGAAGGGCATAAAGCGGAACTGGTACAGCCCGGTTTCAGTGGAGAAAGCGGTTTTGTCTTTCGACTCCTCAGTCAAAGGGATCTGCCAGTATCCTTTGCAGAAATCCAGTTTGGTGAAATATCTTTTCGACCCCACATCAGCGAAGAGTGTGTCGACCCGGGGGATCGGCTCGGCGTCGGAGACCAGCACGTTGTTTACTCCTCGAAAGTCGACACACAGCCGGTGCGTGCCGTCCGACTTCTTCACGACGAGTACGGGGGAGTTGTAAGCCGAGTTAGATCTCTCAATGATGCCCATTTCGGTCATACTTTCCACTTCTTTCTTGATCGTCTGACGCACGGCAAAAGGCAGCGGGTATTGCCTGACGTTGATTGGCGCGGTTGTTTTCAGCTCCAACCTGCATTCGGCCAAATCTGTGCGTCCAGGCAGGTCCGAAAACACAGTGTCGAACTCAGCAATTAGCCGTTTGGCTTGTCTTTTCTGCGCCGCTGTCAGTCCGTCAGAAATCACCACGTCGAGGCTGTCTTCTTTCTTTTGGAGGTTCAGTAGTGGCATACCGCATTCCTCTTCCCTGTCAATGGTGACCACCGCACACTGGCTCACCTCCGGTTGTTTGGTGTGGACTTCCCGTTCTTCATATTTCTTTAGCATGTTCAAGTGAAACAGCTTTGTAGCGTGTCCCAAGTTCACGGCATAATCCAGGTCCCCCTTCCTTGCAACAACATGGTAAGGTCCTTTCCACTGCATCAGCAGTTTGTTGTGATCCGTTGGTAACAGGATGAGGACCTTATCCCCCACCTGCAGTGTGCGGTTGCGAGCTTTCTTGTTGTAGTGTTGCTTGTAGCGGGCACTCGACCTTTCCAGCTCCTCGTGGGCCACTCGGCAAGTATTCTCAAGACGGTTTCGAAGCTCGAAGACGTACTGGTACGTTGTCCGGAGCTCAGGTTCTAGGGACTCGTTGGTCCACAATTCTCTCAGAACAGAAAGGGGACCCCGCACCTGTCGTCCGTAGAGCAACTCGAACGGAGAAAAGCCAAGGCTGGCCTGGGGCACCTCCCGGTAAGCGAAGAGAAGGGGGCCGAGGTACCTATCCCAATCCTTTGGTTTCTCCTGGCTCATCCGCTTGAGCATCATCTTCAACGTTCCATTGAATTTTTCCACCAGCCCGTTAGCCATCGGATGGTACGGCGTCGTGTCTGGCGCATCGACAGCAGTCGACTCACTTCGCGCATGAGATCGGAACAAAAATTGGCACCGCGGTCGCTGAGAATTTCTCTCGGGACCCCAGTCCGAGCAAACATCTCTACCAAGGCCTCCGCCACCCGTTCGGTGGTTATGTCCGGGAGCGCTACGGCGTCCGGGTAGCGGGTTGCATAGTCCACCATTGTCAGAATGTATCTGTTTCCCTTCGTCGTTGCCGGTGCGAGGGGTCCCACGATATCGACAGCCACCCGCTGGAAGGGGGTGTCAATAGTCGGCATCGTTCCGAGTGGCGCTCTCGACACCTTGCCCTTAGGAGTTGTCCTTTGACATTGGTCGCACGAGTTGACGAACCGCTTCACATCGCCTTGAACTCCCGGCCAGTAGAACTCCCCAAGGATGCGGTGGCTTGTTTTCTCCACGCCTTGATGCCCTGCCAGTATTCCGTCGTGAGCCATGCTCAGGACAGTGTCCCGGAGGCCCCGGGGAACGACCAACTGGTGGTATTCTCGCTCGCCCGGCGTCCGGAAAACCCGGAAAAGCAACCCAATCTGCATGACGTACTCATACGTGTTGCCACTTTTCCGCCATCTCCAGACCTTCCCCACGCGTTCAAAACAGCTCCTCAGGGTATTGTCTTTCCTCTGTTCCTCCGCCAGTTTCTCGGGCTTCTCAGGTTCGCCGCCAATCAGCGGGACCCGAAGGGGAGTACTCGTCTTTTTCTTCTGCTTGTTGCTCCTCGTCTCCACAGCTGCGGTGACGGGGGATGCTTCCTCTTCCTCTCCGCTCCCCTTGGGTGGCTCTCCTGCATTCTCTGCCCTGGGCAGGTTCCAACTCTGATCAGGGTCTCCCGGGGCGCGAACGTTCGGGATGTTTCCGAGGATGACATCATAAAGCGGGTTCTCCATGCACTTGGCGATTAGGTCCCCCGTGAAAAAGGGCGTGTCCACGTGCACCCTTGCCTCAGGCAGGATTCGCACAGTGCCGTCTACTAGATAGACGGGACTCGACTCTCCCGTCAGATCGGCCTCAGTGATCAAACTTCTGCGCACCACCACAGTATTACAGCCGGTGTCCCTTAGGACGCTAACTGTCTTGCCTTGGATTTTCCCTGCTGTGACCGGCATATTCGTCATCGGCGGCTCCGGCTCCGACACCGCGTTCAGGACAGGTACTTTCGTCCCATCCTTGAGCTCCACGTAGCCCCCTTGAATACAACTTGCGGTTGTATTTCGCGACTCTAGGGTCTCCCTGAGACCGGAAACCTTGTTCTTCTCATGGGGCCTACTCCAACACAGGCTTGCTGCGTGTCCGGTCTTTCCGCATTGTCGGCACGCGATGGACTTCTTGGTGGAAAAGCCGGCCCTGCAGTCAGCGGCCAGATGTCCAGTTTTATCACATAGGAAGCATCTCCTGGGCGGGCGCGAGCTCCCCGAAGGCCTTGCACCTTGCTTGGCCCGTGTCGCTTCGTCAGCCCCACCACTCTTGCCGTGAGTCTCCTGTTGTTGTGCCTCTAAGTACCGGTCAGCCAGCTCTGCCATGTCGCCCAGTTCCCTACTCTTCCTTTCCCGGAGGAACAAAGACAATTTTGGGGGGGCTCCGCGAATAAACTGCTCGGTGAGCAACAGGTTTCTTAAGGCGTCAAAATCCTTTGCCGTCTCTGACAGATCGACCCACCGATCGAGAAGGCTGGCCAACCTGGCAGCAAACTGGGTGCCCGTCTCCCCTTTTTCCGGCTTCGCGTCCCTGAACTTCTCCCGGAAGCCCTCGGCTGTCAGGCGGAACCTCTGAAGGAGCGTTTTTTTAACTTTGTCGTAGTCAGCCGAGTCTTCCGGGGTCAGTCGCGAAAACACCCCGAGCGCCTCTCCGGTGAGGCAGACGCTAAGTGCGGTGGCCCACTGCTCCCGTGGCCATCGCTGTCCCGTGGCCAGCCTCTCAAATCTCAGAAGGTACGCGTCCAGATCGTCCCTCTCCTCGTTGAATGCTGGCAACCAGCGCTGGGGGCTCTTTCCCAGAGTTTGCCCGGCCCCCTCGGTTCCTCCACCTGCTGCTGGCGGAGGCGTCGCCGCGTTCTGGGCTTCCCGTAGTTTGATCTGGGCCTCTTCGAGCTTTACTCTCAGCTCCAGCGATCGAAACTCGGCATCTTCTCGGGCTCGAGCCTCTTCCTTGGCTGATTTTCTTTCTTCAGCCCTTGCTTCTCTCTCTAGGGCCTTTTCTCTTTCGCCCCTCGCCCGCTCGGAGTCTACCCATTCCTTGAGGGCTGGACCTTCGAGCCCGAGCTGCTTTCCGTACGAAATAAGGTCGCCTATCTCCATGTTTATGTCGCACCAGGCAATCCGTTACGCGACAAGGCTCCCTTCAACAATCCAGAAATCACTATCCGTTCTAAGGAAGCTGCCTCTATGCTCGGCTCTCTCTCTCGTCATGGAAGCCTCTCCACCGTGGTCAGCAAGTCCTGTCGCGGACGCCAATTTATGTCACAGGAAGGCGGTAGGCCTCCCGAGTGACGATTTGAAGGAAGGGGACCGCTGACCGAGCGATAGGGCCACGCTCTGGTGGAGAGTCTTACCAATGAAGAGAGACGGAGGCGTGTGTCAGATATATAAATGACGTTTAATTTGAAAGGGATAGGGTAGATAATTAGGCGCTATATAATATGCAAAAATCACGTAGACATCAAACGGCAGAAGCACAGGTACGCACAGTATAACGGTTTACAATTTCATGCTCGGGGTTGCCTAGACAGTACTAGAAAAATACTAAGTTTAAGAGAGTCCTAATGGTAAACTAAAATAGGAGAATAAGTGAGTGCAAAGAAAAAGTCTCATCTGGCGTAGAGGTGCTGGCGTCTCCCTGCGCGGTCCGTCCGAGGTGGAGAAATTCCGGCGGGTGGCTTGGCACACCGTGGGCGCGGCTCACTGGCCCCGCACGCCCACTTTTTGCGGTCGCACACTCACTGGAAGCTTCGTCCGGTGCCTGGCGTGGGGCCGTCGACAGGGTCTCGCCGCATCCCTCGACGTCGCGATGCGACCGTCCGCCTTGGAGTTCTCTCTCGCACTCCCAGTCCTGGCGACCCCGCGGTTCCCGCACTCTCTTTGTTCCCACGGTAGGTTGTTGCCCCCTCGGTCTGACCCCTGACCCTAAAGCAGGGTTCTTCTAAACACTAAGACCCGCCAGGCAATTCGAGCGCTGACGAGAAACACATTCCAACAGCGAGCCGCCAGCTCGCCTCGTAAATCTGGGGCTGCAGAGACGTGTATACCCCCCAAAACCACTCTAGGTTGTGTATACGAAGAAACACCGAACATGCGGTCGCTTCAACGAAGCGCTCCCTGCGTAACCTGACACGCGCCTGGCTGCGAGCTCATCCGCCGAAGGCGGTCGTTTACTTCACTGGCCATTATTCTTCCGCAGACGTCAGCACGACCCCCGTCGGTTTCTAGAACAGCCGGTTTCTGTGACACTCTGCTAAGTGTAGGCTTTGAAAAAGGACCCTATTTTGTGGAGTTTTGACTTTTTTCTCAATCAATTAATGCAACATGTTTTAATATAAATGAATTCCAAAATAAAATAAAACAATACACCCAAATTTAAAAAAGACCAAAGTTTCTTTTTGCATTGGAATTTTTTTTTCTTGTTTGCTTAAGTGTATCACGACTATCTTATCACTCAGATACCTAATACATATTTTAAATTATATTCTTATATAATTAGAATACTATCTGAAAAGTATATGATGGTGATTAAATTATTTCATGAGATACAGGCCTTCAAATTTTGCCATTTGTCGTTCGAGCAGGCATGTTTGGCAATGTTTAGAAAAAAAAATATAATTTAAATAAATATTATAACTATAAATTACAAGCAAGCTGTACCCAGTTGTTTTCTAGAAAGTATTAAAATTCTCCTAAGTTTCTTGTTTGTTATCTATTTTTAAACGTGCCCCCTCCATCAGTGCGGGTTAATGCAGCTGCCCATTTCCTCATGCCCTACGAGGCTCTCAAAAATTTTGTTTGGTCAAAATTAAGTGGGATTTGTTTATACCAGACACTCGACAATGGCATATAAAAACATCAGTCGATTTAAAAATGTCGGCCAGCCACCCTTTGGTCGATCTTATCTGAAATCGCCCGACTATCATTGTGACTTTTTTTCTTTTTCAGCAGACAAGTTTGAGAATTATTGTTTCTTTGCCTGGAAGTTTCGTCAATGGTCATGGTCATCATTTTGTCTTTTGCTGTTTGGGCTCAACAAGCACCCATGATTTTGTTTCACCCAATTGTCACCGAAATTTCGGTAGATGCTTTGGTATTTTACAAGTTCAGGTAAAACCATCCATGTAGTTTATAAAGCATTTCAATAGTCACTTTGAACAAAACATGACAATAAACTCTTCTTCAACACTGCTTTTAATGAAAAAAAACATTTTAGGCATATCGCAAAAAAAAAATGCTGCCATTTCCATTGTGACTCCACCTATTTTGGTTTGTTTTCTTCTCTTCGAAACTGATGCCTGAAACGAAAACAACAAAAAATAACATTTCTGCTCATAAACTGTTTCAGAATTTGAGGTAAAGAAAAAAAAAGACCTCGTAAGCCAGGCATTCAAGTGTACACCCGAGGCTGTCAGGGCTAGACATGTTTTGCCGTATTTCAGTATTCATAAACTCAGGGAAAACAAGCATTATATTCAGATTTATGGGATAAAAATACTCTAGAATTCAGTTCTAACTCGTTTCTTTCAAAAACCTTTTCAGCTTCCCTTTAAGTATCAGTATTTTGGAATCCCAATAGTGTGATCCAGGACGTACCTCTTGGCACCTTCGCAAACTTGGAAGTATCTATTACCTCCAAAGGATAGAGGGGGACTAGAGATAAATCGAATACGTAGTATTAACTGTAACATTGTAATAGACAACATTGCAGTAATATTTTTGTGGGCATTTCTGAACAGAATTTCAAGATTTCAAACATGAAGTTCTGTATAACTTCGATATCGTGCCAAATTCCTCAAGCTAAAGTTGCAGCAAGTGATACTTTGGTTGCATCATAGAAGCTCGTAGAATTTCAGCCTAAAACGTTAAGAAAAAAAACAAAGGAGCACATGGTTATAACTAGGGATGTTGTGAACCTTTACTGAACCTTGAGGTTTAACTGGTTCACCGAACCTTCAAACCTTTGGCAAAGTTAGATGAAATTCGTCCTTTGAGGAGTGTTGAAACTCAGCAAGTTCGCGACACCCCTAGCTACAAAATACACTTTGAGCCGCTAAGAATTTCAGCAATCATACCTTTTGTATCGACACAAAACAAGAAATTTCTGCTGAGGCATACTACATTATATGACAAGTTTCAACATAAAGGGTCTCAAAAGAGTCTAATTAAAGTTGAAATTCTAAGAACGCTTCACTCTTGACTTTTGTCAGATGCACAAAGCTTGGGGTTCCTTTATTTCGTATAGTTCAAGAGTCTTGAGCTAAACAGAAATGTAGAATTTTCAGCTGGATTGAACATAAACAAGGCAGTATTAGAATAACATGATTGCTAGAAGAAAGTTTTATATATGATGTGCTTACCTAGACTGCCACCTCATTCCAAAATTCCAGACGCGACCAAAAGAGGGCAGCCATTCGTCAGATGTCTCCGAGAAGTGATCAAAGTTGGCCCCCACACGCCTCGGATTCAGCTTCTTCCTCTTCTCAGCTTCCCCTGAAAGTGAAGCAGACACAATGTTAAGCCACTGGCCAGCTTCAGATGATAGCACATTGAGGTTGCACTCAAATTGCTAACTTGTCACTTGATCAGATTTTTTTATGGTACAAAGTAAGCAAAAAAATGACAAGGATGCTATGAAGGTACTAGGTATACTACTTAACAAACCATGAAGTAATTTTTTTTAAACTTTCACCAATCAGTAGTTGTTTAACTCTCTTTCATTTAAAAAATTTGAAACAGGTATAGTTTTTCTCTACGGCACTAAGCCAAACTACTAAGGTGCACAAAACCCCATGCTTGTGCGAGTGCCCACCCAGTTTTCCATAAACTGTGAAATTTGGCTCCTGAAAGCACCCTACCCAAATTTGACGAAATAACCTATGCTTTGGAGTGGGTGCCTGTTCGGTACTTTACATTAAAAAAGGCAGGACTAAGTATCTAATTTCCATTTTGTTCTCAAGTGCTTTATTCCCTATGAATGGGGGGTGACATAGAGGGTCACTGACCCATGGAGACTAATTGAAAAATAGTACAGTCGAACCCCGCTTCAATGAACGCCGCTTTCAATGAAATTTCCTGTTCAAAGAATATTTTTCCGTTCCCCGTCAACAGTCCATAAGAGTCAATGCATAAGAATCCTCACTACAGCGAACACTGTTTCTTGTGCTGTTCCGCTTGGACGAAATTTTACAGAGCAATTCGAAGTTCGAAAGTTTAATTTTCCGTACGGAAAACAAACTTTCGAGCACTGGTGCATTTTGGCACATAAAATATGTCTACTATAAAGTTTAAATCATGTGTTGAATCACCAGAAACTGCCACTAATA